CAGGTAATTGTCTTCCAGATTTCTTGGCACAACCTGGTGAAGCGCGGCCAGGGCAGCATCTGTTTGTTGAAACATATCAGTTGGTATTGTATCATTTCCTGAGACCTTGTGTTTTGCTAATTCCTTCAGAGCAGTCTAACTTACTCCTTCATCACCATTGCCTCTTGTTCATATGTTGTTTCTTGAAATTCTTGTGTGCCAGCCAATTCTTTTTGGTACAGTGACTCTGTATACTTCTTCTGTCTTCTTCTAATGATTCTGGGATCATTCCATATTGGCAAGAGTGGTTGCTGTGGTGCTAAACACTGTGACACTGATGTGCCAAATGTGATAATGGTTACCCATGGTGGACAGTGTTTGGTGGAGCTTCCCGATTAAAACAAGCTTGGAAGCAGGAGTGGCATCCGCTTCCAAAATGGCTTGCCTTTGGAAGCTCCATAAACGGTGCTCAGGTCTTTTGTTCATAGGGTAGCTATGAGTTGTCTATGACTTTGTGACACTTAACAACAATAACAATAACAACAACATAGAGTTACATTGGCCTAGTGGACAGAAAGTTATGCTACCAAGCCCAAGGTGGGTGATTTTAATCTGTGGCCCTCAGACCTGGTTTAAATTGGATTTTTTTTTTTTGTCAAACATTCTTCTAAGTGGTACAGCACTGGTTTGTGCGTTGCTGTACAGAGGTAACTCGTGGTTGCTGTGATGCTAAACACTGTAACACTAATGTGCCAAATGTGATAATGGTTACCCACGGTGGACAGTGTTCAGTGGAGCTCCCCAATTAAAACAAGCTTGGAAGCAGGAGTGGCATCCACTTCTGAAATGGCTTGCCTTGGGAAACTATGAAGAGTGCTCAGGGTTGCTATGAGTCGCCTACAACTCAATGACACTTAACAACAACAACATTGCAACTCAAGGCTTGAATTTGTTCTTTTAGTTCTTTCAATTTAAGAAATGCCGAGCTAGTTTTGGCCCTTTTGATTTTCCTACTCCAGCTCCTTGCACATTTCCTTATACTTGATTTGTTTTCCCAAGCTGCTCTTTAAAATCTTCTGTTCATCCACAACAAATGAAACGGCAGCAGGTGATGATGGAGATGAAGTATTTGTTGAGGCAGAATCTGAAGGTGTTAGTTCAGAGGCAGGCCTAGAAATTGATAGCCAGCAACAAGAAGAACCTGTTCAGGCATCTGATGAATCGGATCTTCCTTCTACCAGCCAGGATCCTCCATCCAGCTCCTCTGTGAATACTAGTAGTAGTCAACCAAAGCCTTTCAGACGAGTAAGACTTCAGACAACATTGAGACAGAGTGTCCGTGGTCGTCACTTTAACAGACAGAGAGGAATGAGCCATACAATGGGAGGGAGAGGAGGACTAAATAGAGGAAATATTAATTAACTGTTCTAGAAACTCTCACTAATTGTGAATAAAGTTGTCCACTCTGTTTAGTGTTATTTTCAAGCTTAAGTCATTTTTTTGTTTAAATTGGTATGCTTCTATCAACATTCTTTATTAATAAAATATATTTCAGTGTCAAAAAAAAATCTTCTATTCAGCTCCTTCGTGATTTCTTCCTTTTTTTGGCTTCTCAGTGCCCTAGTGCAATATTCAGAGTCTCTTCTGACATCCATTTTGGTTTTTTCTTCTTCTGTCTTTATAATGACCTTTTGCATTCTTCGTGGATGATATTCTTGATATCCTCCCACAGCTCATCTGATCTTTCATTAGTATTCAAGTTCTCAAACCTGTTTTTGAGTTGGTTTTTAAATTCAAGTGGGATAGACTCAAGATGAAATTTTGATTCCTAAGGATTTTATTTGACCTTCTTTAGCTTTAATTTGAACAAGGCATATGGTCTGTTGCACAATCAGCACCTGGCTTAGTTTTCACTGCTAACATTGAACTTCCCTAACAATTCCTTCCACAGATTTAATCATTGTGATTCCTGTGCATACCATCAAGTGAAGTCCATGTGTATAGCCTGCATTTATGTTTCTTATAGAAATGAATTGCAGTGAATAAATCATCGATTCTATCATTCTGTCCCCAGCCTTCTTTCTGCCATCAAGTCCATATTTTCCGATAACTGATCCTTCTTGTCACAGCCAGAAAACATGGTTTCTTCCCTCTTTGGCCTTCACTGCTTCCACTCATCTGCTTTTTCTAAATGGATTGTTATTGTTGTTGTTGTTAACTGCCGTCGAGTCCTAGGCGACTCATAGCGACCCTATGAAGGAGAGTCCTCAACGCTTGGGTGCCTTTCATCCTCTCTCCAGGTTCATAGGGTTTCCGGAGGCAAGCTATTTATGGAAGTGGATGCCACTCCTCCTTCCAAGCTTGTTTTAATCAGGGAGCTCCACCCCACTCTCTGGATTACCTATTCTAAATATTTCATATGATTGGCTTCTTCCATTGAGCATGTCTGAGAGGGCTCTGTGTGTGTTGTAGCTGGTATGTAGCTTGTGCTTTTTTATGGCTGTGTAAAAAATGTTCTATCCATTTACCAGATAATGAAATTTTAGTTGTTTCTACTATTACTGTAATTAGTGCTGTGGATATTAATGTATAATTTGTATGTGGACATGTATTTTCACTTCTGTGTGTATATATATAGCAGTGAAATTGTTGGGTCATATGATTATTCTAATTGTAACTTTTTGAGGAACCATGAAACTTTTCAGCTCCAACAGCCTTGAAGGGTTCATTTCACATTCTCATATCTTTTCAACACTTGTTATTATCTGATCTTTTCATTGTAGTCATCCTAGGGAAGGTATATTTTGTTTTATATTAGATTTGCATTTTCCTCAGGACTGTAGATGGTCTTTTTTGTGTAATATCAGAGGTTTTTAATGATTCCTTTGAGGAGGCCTGGTAGCCCAATGTTTGAGTGCTTGACTGCTAACCTGAAAGAATTGGTTTGAACCTACTAGCCACTCCGTGGGAGAAAACTATGGCTTCCATAAAGACAACAGCTTTGGTTTAACCAACCAACCAACATATGGGGTAGTTAGTTTTACTCTGTCTGATAAGGTTGTGTAAAAGGAGGAGCAAAGGCAAGGGACAGCCATATCTAAGCTCTACTAATTCCACAAGGCAGAATTGCCCCTTCAACAGAATCCGCAACACAAAAGTCATTCCATCAGGGAGCTCTGGTGGCCTAGTGGTAAGGAGCTGCAACTAAGAGGCGCACGGTTCGAATCCACCAGATGCTCTGCCGGGGAAGGAGGGACAATCTCCTCCTGTACCAGTCAGATCTGATTTGATGGTACACTCACACAAAAATAGTAAAATAAAAATTAAAAAAAAAAAAGTCATTCCATCAACAATCCTACTGCTCAACTGGGCCCAAAATCTGTTGCAATAGCTACACAGACCTCACAGAAACATATTCACATTTATGAGTTTTATTAGGGTTGTTATTGTTGTGTACTCAGAGTCAGAACCGACCCATAGCTGACCCTCCAGCGGGTTTTCAGAGGCAGTTAATCACATGGGAAGAGACTGTCCATCCTTCTCCCAAGGAGCAGCTGGTGGCCACAAACTGAGGCTTTGGGATTACAGTGCAGCTTCTAATTCAGAGCTCCCTATTAAGGAGGTTAACAGGTTAAAATTTAAGTTGGCAAGAGGGTGAAGTGTCTGAAGCTTGCTTGCAGGCCCTCCAGCCTTCACCCTTGCAGGCTTTAGGCTAGTGTTACAAAGCTTTTAGTCCTGCCAGTTAAGACATCTCTCCCCTGTCCTCCAGCAAGCTGGGGTGAAGTTCTGAGGCAGCAGTCCTAGGTGAGCTCCGCCTCACGCCAAAGCTCTGGCTCCTGCTGCAGTGGCGGCTGCTGCTGCTCTCTTGTAGGCCCTGGTTGAAGAATCTCGGGCCCCAAAAGACACACATGCTGCACTTTCTGTTTCCTCTTTACTGGTAGTGAGCTTCCCAAATTGCTGCTGCTGAACCTCTTGATTTTAAACCTGGTGGAATGACAAAACTAGCCAGTCGCCTGCTGGATAGACTAACACATTCTATTTATATGCTCCTGCCCAGCCATGTGGCAAAGTCAAGGCACTGGCCTAGAAAAGCCATTTTGAACCATAGACCCCGAGATTGCAGATTATTATTAGTTGGGCCCAATGCACCAGCAAGAATTTGAGTATCCAGCACTTGGTGATTGAGGGCCATGTTCAGATGCAGCCATGAACAGTTAGAGGACTGTGTCCTCCTGGTATTTCCTGGCTGTGTCCCTCGGACCTTGTCCATGTGATGTCCTTACAATACCCCCAAACGTCTGCGCTTGAGTAGATTTCCAATCATAACAACCTCCATCAGGTTTCCAAGGCTGCAGATCTTTATGGGAGGAACTTCCCATTTTTCTTCTGCAGAGCAGAGCAGCTGGGGGATTCAAACCGCCAACCTTTCAGTTAGGAAAGTATATCACCAGGACTTCTTGATACTATAGTTCATGATCTTACTTTACCCTCGCTGTCATTCTGCTGTCACCCCCTGACTGTTCAGGCAGGTAGGTCTCAGTGTGCCTGGCCCTCCCACCTGCAGAGCACAGCCTGATGGCTGACCTTACTAGTAACAGGTGGTCGGATACTGTTGAGTCAGGTCCCACTCACAGCAACCCCATGAACACCCAGTAGTGTAGAACTAAGCTCTGTAAGCATTGGCCGTGGCTGGGTAGTTTCATTGTTTTAAACATCAAGCCTTTCTCCTGAGGTACCACTGAGTGACCTATCATCCGAGTGTGTTGTCTGTTTGCACCACTTGGACTCTGAGCTTTTTAGTTGTATGTCATGAAGAGTTAGCCCATACCAAGCGCAGGGAGCAGCTGTGGGCTTTTTACAGCCCCGATGTGGATCGTGCTGTGAGCCTGGCTCTGCTCCTGCAGGTGGGGTCTCTGAGCTGGGCTGAGTGTGCACGTTGCTTCTCCACAAGATGAGCTCGAGCACAGGCTTCCTCTCACTGGCCCATCTCTGTCTCTCCCGCTCCCTGTGCAGCAGCCGCCATGGCCCAGACCCTGCAGATGGAGATCCCCAACTTTGGCAACAGCATCCTGGAGTGCCTCAATGAGCAGCGGCTGCAGGGCCTGTACTGTGATGTGTCAGTCGTGGTCAAGGGCCACGCCTTCAAGGCCCACCGGGCCGTGCTGGCCGCCAGCAGCTCCTACTTTCGGGACCTGTTCAACAGCAGCCGGAGCGCTGTGGTGGAGCTACCGGCGGCCGTGCAGCCCCAGTCCTTCCAGCAGATCCTCAGCTTCTGCTACACGGGCCGACTCAGCATGAACGTGGGCGACCAGTTCCTGCTCATGTACACGGCTGGCTTCCTGCAGATCCAGGAGATCATGGAGAAGGGCACAGAATTCTTCCTCAAGGTGAGCTCCCCAAGCTGTGACTCGCAGGGCCTGCACGCCGAAGAGGCCCCATCTTCCGAGCCACAGAGCCCCGTGGCGCAGACATTGAGCTGGCCGGCCTGCAGCACCCCCCTGCCTCTTGTGTCTCGGGTGAAGACAGAGCAGCAGGAGTTGGACTCAGTGCAGTGCACTCCGGTGGCCAAGCGGCTGTGGGACAGCAGCCAGAAGGAAGCAGGGGGCGGGGGCAGCAATGGCAGTCGCAAAATGGCCAAGTTCTCTACACCAGACCTGGCTGCCAGCCGGCCAGTCCAGCAGGCCCCAGTAGTGGCAGCGGCCCAGCCAGCTGGGGTGGCTGTGGCTGTGACGGCTGGGACCGGACCGCCGGCTGGAGGTGCCCCTGCAGCTGGGGCCGTGGTGAGTGGGCCCTGCACGTCAGAGCGGACCAGCCCTGGTACCTCGAGTGCCTACACCAGCGACAGCCCTGGTTCCTACCACAATGAGGAGGATGAGGAGGAGGATGCGGGTGAGGAGAGCATGGACGAGCAGTACCGGCAGATCTGCAACATGTACACCATGTACAGCATGATGAATGTCGGCCAGGCAGGTGAGGCACTGGTGCTGACCGGCCTTGGCCAGCCTTCCTCCCTGCACCCTCCACCCCAACACCCATACTGCCTCTCTCTCCCCAGCTGAGAAGGTGGAGGCACTCCCAGAGCAGGTGGCCCCTGAGTCCCGGAATCGCATCCGAGTACGGCAAGAGCTGGCATCCCTCCCTGCTGAGCTCATCAACCAGATCGGCAACCGCTGCCATCCCAAGCTGTACGATGAGGGTGACCCCTCTGAGAAGCTGGAGCTGGTGACAGGTGGGCCCGGAGTTCTGTATCGGTGGGAGTCAAGAGCCAGGCTGCCGCACACTTGACTGACCTAGGGCAGCAGACACCCCTTAGCACCTTGGTTTCCTTGTCTGGTAGTGCAGCCTTGGCAGGGATGTCGATGGAGTAAATGAATTGATGCACGTCAAAGTCTGGGGGCCGAGGGACATGTTGGGAGCCTCAGTGAGAACTGTTCGGATGTGGGGAGTAGGTTAGCTGCTGTGTGCACCGGCTTTGAGGAGACCACGTCACTGCAATTATGGGAGCTCTGATAGCACTCTCCGTTGGTGGTTCAAATCCACCAACAGTTCCACCAGAAACAGATGAGTTCTCACCTCCTATGTGGTTTACAGCCTCTGAAAACTGGCTGGAAGGTCAGCTGTGAATCATTCTAGCTCAACAGCAGTGAGTTTGGAGTTTGAATTTCGAAGTTAAGAATTAGCCTTTCTCGTCCATCGCCGGCTCCCCACTGAATCGCCATACACCTCAGCTGCCGCCTCTTCCTTGGGCAGGTCGGGGATGGGGGATGTATGGGTAACAGCTGTGGATGTGAAGAATGTGCCAGGGGCCGGCATTCACACTGATGTGACACCACCATTTCCTCTGGAGTGAGTGCCACAGGGCATCAGGATGAGGTCGTCTTGCCCACCCGCTGGGATGAAGAGGTCGAGAGCCTGGGAAGAATGTTTCCGAGGCCTGCAGGGTGGGAACGGTGGTGGGTCACTGGGCCTGCGTCATCGTTGGTCTCTTTTCTAGGCACCAATGTGTACATCACGAGGGCGCAGCTCATGAACTGCCACGTCAGCGCAGGCACGAGGCACAAGGTTCTGCTGCGGCGGCTCCTGGCCTCCTTCTTTGACCGGTGAGGCCCTTCAGAGTCCCAGGCTGAGGGAGTGAAGTTCCTCCCCCCTGAACCCCTGGAGGATCCTCCCACCACTGGGTGTACTGACTCCCCATCCTCACCCTCACCCCCAGGAACACGCTGGCCAACAGCTGTGGCACCGGCATCCGCTCTTCCTCCAACAACCCCAGCCGCAAGCCCCTGGACAGCCGTGTCCTCCACGCCGTCAAGTGTGAGTGTGACATCTGCTGGGGGTGGGCTCTGACTCTGGGGTGTGGCTCTCTGGAACTGGGGGGTAAGAACAAGTTGAGGGTGAATCTCAGCGTGTTAGGAAGAGTGCTATGACTTGTTAGAGACTTGTGGAGGGACCCAGGAGAAGCTAGAAGGATGTCTCACTCCGGGCAGCAAGCTCAGGAAGTGGCCTGGCAAGCCGACGGGTGGTCATTGACCATGCTGTTTGTATGATCTAATCCAAACCCCACATCCCACGTGCCGCACCGTCAGGCTCAGATGAGCCTGACGTGCCTTAGTGCCCTGCCCACCACCAGGGAGGCCAGGCTCCCCACCTGCTCCTGGCTGAACCCCACTCCCCTCCTGCTCTACCCACAGACTACTGCCAGAACTTTGCTCCCAACTTCAAGGAGAGTGAGATGAATGCCATCGCGGCTGACATGTGCACCAATGCCCGCCGCGTCGTGCGCAAGAGCTGGATGCCCAAGCTCAAGCTGCTCAAGGCTGAGGGTGACGCCTACACGACCTTCATCAGCGACATGGGCAAGATAGAGCCGGATATGATGGGTGTGGAGCACGGCTTCGAGACGGCCAGCCAGGCCAGCCATGATGGGGACGCTGGCCCCTCCGCCGATGCCCTGTAGTAACCTCACCCGATCCTCCCCTCTGAGCCGTCACACACTCCCCCTCCCTCCACACCCGCCCGCCCACCCATCATCCTGGTCACGAGCTACTGTCTGCCCCTCCCCAGGACCTGTGGGGGTGCTGCATGCTCCCAGCCCCTCTGCCTCCCTATCCCACCCCCTGGTCTCCAAACCTGCATCACCCACCCAAGGAGGGCTGAGAGAGGGGGGCAGGTGGTGTGCAGTTTGCGTTGCCTTTTTAAACACACACTTGTGCACAGTTGGGGAGCATTTGCTCTCCCTCTCCTAATCCCTCGCCAGGCCAGGCATAGGGAGGGACTGGCCTGGGGAGCTCGAGAAGGTCCCTCACCCAGACCCAGAGCCCCTTGGTGGAAGCTTTCTCAGCTTCTGCCCCTCACTACAGCCCTTTTGGACTCAAAGGGGCCTGGGTTCTCAGGACCCCTCTCGACACCACCTCCCAGTGCTTCCACATTTCCAAAAGCGCCTTCCTGTTTGCTCGTCTGTCCCTGCGCCTAGGGGCTGGGGTAGGCGAGGCCATGGGGAATGTCTGTTTTACAGCAGAGGCTCCGATATCCCATGACTGGATGAAGGTGGCAAGCAGTGGTGGGCCCAACACCCTTCTCCCACAAGATGCTCAGCCTCTCTGCTGCCCCCATCAGTCCCCTGGGTCCCTAGAGAGGCAGGTCCTGAGTGAGGGGACTCTTGGGGGCAACTGCGGGGCTTTGGGAGAGAGGACAAGTTTCCAGGGCTCATTGAGAGTGTGGGTGTGTGTGTGTGCACGTGAGTATGCGTGTAGGTTTTGCTTTTAAAAAAATATGAAGCTATAAGAGGCACTAGGACCAGGGTTGAACCAAGGGGAGCAGGGCTGGGAGTCGCTACCCCTCCCTCACTTCCCCTGACCCCGCCCTCCAGCCAGGCTCCTAGCCCCCTCCCCCTGTACATACTTTTTAAAAATTTTCTTAGCTAATGAAATATTGAAGTATAAGATTCCTTTTATTTTTCAAACCAATGGGACTGTGTCTGATGATCCCCCTGTGGTCCCTGCGGGCCATGGTAGGCAGGATGGGGCTGGAGACAGCAGGTGGGGTGTGTGCCTGTGTGTGAGTGTGGGTGCGAATTTCTTTGGTGGGCCCCAGCCCAGTGCTACCTGGACTCCTGTGGTTCTGACTGGCTCTTCCTTCACCCCTCTGCTCCCATACACACAGGGATACAGTTTAAGGGTGCCCCTGGCCTTGGTGGTTGGCTGAGCCCCGCCCCATGGGACCAGGGTAGGGCAGGACCCATTTCCATTGTTGGCAGTTGTCCTAAGGCTCTCTCTCATCATTCCTCTCTCTTTCTCTCTTTCATATATTCGGGTCCTTTCACAATTCCATTTTTGTTTGTAGCCCTTGTCCTCCCCTCTCCTCTCCGGCCTCCGCTCTTCCCTGCCCCCAAGTGACCCTTCATGCGGGCCAAGGAAGAGAGGGATAGCCCCAGGGACCCTTGGGGTCTGATTTGGAGGTAGGCCTCCCCCCGACGCCCCACCCCCAGTGGGTCACTGTTAACATCTGCTTGTTGCATGGGGGGGTGTCAGGGCCAGCTGGGGTCCCATTGTGGTTTTCCTGGCCCCGCCCCCAGCACCTTAGCTCCTAGCCGGCCCCTGAGTGTGTGTGGAGGGGACTCGACACCCCCAGCTAAAGCACAAGCACCTTAATCACACCTCCCACCCATAGGTCCCAGCCCTGACACCCCTACACCCAGCATTGATCCCAAAGCACAATATCCTGGTCACTTGGCAGAAGCAGTGCCCACTGACCGAGGCCGAGGGGGCGCAGGTGGGCTGGGGCTCCAGTCGCCCCAGGAGGAAGCAGGAGCTCTCAGGCACTCCCCTCCTTCCAGGCCTTAGTAGGGGGGCCCCGGCTCTCTGGGACTGGGGTATTCTCCCTCCCCACCCCCTTGTCCTGGGCAGACCCCTGCCCAGCCCCTCCTGCCTTTCCCTGAGGTGGGGTTTTCCCCTGTAACTCCTTCAGCACCCTGTAGTCCAGGGGTAGGTGGCAATCTGCTGGCTCCCTAGGACTTCGTGGTGGTTTGGGGAGGGATTGAGGTGAGGGGCCGGGCAGGGGTGCAGGGGAGGAAACTCCCCACCAGGAGAGCCAAAGACAGGGTTGTGCCTTACCCCAGGAGCCACCCCTGCACCCGTCCCTGTCCCCTCCTTCCTCCCTCCGGGCGGCCTGCCACTTTCCTTCTCTTCCCCCTGCCCTGCTCTGAGCTGCATGATTCCCCACCCGGGGCAGCGGGGAAGAGTCCAAATGGAAAATAATCAACAAGAAATGACTGGGGCCCCTCCGCTTCTCGGCCGCCCATGCCCCTTTCACGCAGGACAGACCACTTGTCCTGTCCTCTGCGTGAAGTGCCAACGCCCTCCCCCCCTGGGCCGAGCCCCACCTCTCTCCCCAACCCCTAAGTGAGATTGCACATTAACTACTGTAAGAGGGGTGGCACTGGGAAATGTGAACCATGAGAACGTCAGTGATACTGATGAGGAAAAAATAAACTAAACGCCTTTGTAACAGCCCTGCTGCATGCTGCTCACTGGGACTTGGTGTGGCTGCCTGGGAAGGGACGTGGACTTGGTGTGGCCGCCTGGGAAGGGATGTGCATGGCTCCCCCAATAGCACACAGGGACCTCCTCTTCGGACCCCACGTCAGAGGGCTTCACACTGAACAGCAGGGATGACGGAACCTGTCACCCTGAGCTGGGGTACGAAGTTCCTCTTCAGATGGTGAAGGTGACATTGAGATGTGCAGCTTCTGGTGCAAACACAAGGATGTCCTTAACATCCTTTCACACAGTCTGCTCCAAGTCAGCCGTCCTTGTCACAACCCCAGTGCTCCTAGGTGTCAAAAGAAGCAACATCAGAGTGAAAAGTCAACTGGTCAGAATATCCAGAGCACAGGGAGGGAGGGGAGAGCTGTAGGGGCCTAAGGGTGTGAGAGGAGAAGCCACTGATATGCCTGAGGACCCCACCCATTCAGACTTGAGTGAAATGGGAATATTTACCTGTCTTTTTCACCAAGTCAAAAAGATCTTCACTGAGATGGAGAAGGATCCTTCATCTCAGCCCACCTGGGTCACCTCTGTGGGAGGCAGGTACTACTGCAGACACTGAGGATGAGGATAATCAGGTAACGAGCCAATTAAAAGGTGAACTGAGCCTGCCCTGGTTACGTAGTGCTGCCGTAAAGCTGCGGGAGAAAGATGGCCAGTCTCCCATGCAATTTACTGCCTCTGAGAACCTGCTGGAGGATCAGCTATGGGTCCTTTCCAACTCAGTGGAACACAACAGCCATAAAGATGCCACCAGGAAAAAAGCTCACTGGCTGAAGGTGGGGGAAGACCCTTGAATCCTTACAGCTTCTCAGCTCCCTTACCATGTAGTCTGACGTAAGACCACCTTACACCAGTAGGGAGCTCCGGTGGCCCAGTCCACAGAGAGCTGCACCAAAGGTTGCATGCCTGCCTCTCTAAGAGTTCAAATCCACCAGCGCATAGCCCTTTCTGTGCAGTTTACAGTTTCTGAAAAGTAGTTGTAGGCTCAGCTGGATATGTTTCCATTTGATGGCAATGAGGTGTTTGGTTTGGTTTTTTGCAAATATTTACCTTCCTCCCTCAACATTTTTTTATTTCATTCATTTTATCGCACATTTTCATCCAGGCCACTTTGCAATGCACCTCTTGTTCCAGATTGTTGTCTTACATATAATGCCTAGTCATATATTCCTTTTAAACAGTTCTTTGCCTCACTTGTTCCAACACAGTGTTCGTTATCCAATCTTTTCCTGCTCTCCCCCTAAACCCCCACATCAACCCTATTTTAACAGCAGTGTTATGCAATATTTTTTCTTTTGTGCTTTAGGCTTTTTTAATACAGAATTACAATAGGTGTTATGTGCCATTAAGTCGCCTGCAACCCATAGTGACCCTATGTACAGCAGCTCTGAACCCTGCTTGCCCTGAGCCAGTCTCACCAACCCTCACTGCCACAGTTACTATATCAATCCATCTCATACTGGGTCTTCGTCTCCAGTGTGGTCCCTCTGTCTTTCCAAGCATGTTGTCCTTCAAGGACCAGTCTCTCCTGGCCACATGCCCAAAGTATGTGAGACGGAGCTTCAAAATCCTAGCCTCCAGGGAGCTCTGGTGGCCTAGTGGCAAGAAGCTGCACTGCAATCCCAGAGGCACGCTGTACAAACCCACCAGATGCTCTGCTGGAGAAAGGGGCAATCTCCTCCTGTACCAGTTGGATCCAATTCAATGGTACACAACAAGATGACAGAAAAAAAAAAAATTCCTAGCCTCCAAGAAGAAACTAGGTTTCACCCTCTCCAAGACAGACTTAATTATTTTCTTTGCGGTCCATGGTGTATTAGACTCCTCTAGCACCACAATTTGAAGATACTGATTCCTCTGTCATCCTTAGTCATTGCCCAGCTCTCTGATGGATAGCAAGTAATTGTGAAGACCATAACCTGGATTAGGTGCACCTTTATCTCTAGACTGACACTGTTGCTTTTCAGTACTCTGGAGAGGTCCTTGGCGGCAGATGATGCTAAGAGTGTTGATTATGGAGCTGAGCAAGCTGTAATTGTTAACCTCAGTCTTTTCTCCGTCTATCGTGGTACTGCCAATTGGTCCAGTGGTGAGAATCTTTGTCTTCTTTATGTTGCGCTTCAATTCATATTGAAGACTACAGTCCTTGACCTTCTGCAGCAAGCGCTTCACATCCTCTTCAGTTTCAGCAAGCAAGGTTATGTCATCTGCATAACGTAGGTTGTTGAGGCTTCCTCCAATTCTGATGCCACATTCCTTCTCATAAAATCCCAGCCTCCCAAATGATGTTCTGCATATAGGCTGGGAAAGTATGGAGACAGGATTCACCCCTGACACACTCCTTTCCTGATTTTGAACCAAGCAGTGTTTCCCTGTTTTGTTCTGAGGACTGCTGCAAGGTCCAAGTATAGGTTTCACATAAGCACAATCAAGTGTTTTGAGATTCCCATTTTCTCAAGGTTAGCCACAATTTTTTTGTGTTGCACACAATCAAATGCCTTTACATAGTCAATGAAACACAGAAAGACAGTTCTTTGCTTTCTGCCAAGATCCATCTGACATTGGCAATAATGTCTCTAATGCCAGGACCTCTTCTAAATCCAGCTTGTACCAGCTTGTATTTCTGGTAGATCTCTGTCAATGTACTGTTTCAGTTGTCTCTGGATAATCTTAAGCAGGATTTTGCTAGTGTGTGATATTAGTGATAATTGCTTGATAATTTCCACACTGTCAGGTCACCTTTTTTTTGGAATGGGAATAAATATGGATCTCTTCCAGAAAGTTGGCCAGGTAGTTGTCCTCAGATTTCTTGGCACAACCTGATGAGCACATCTAGGGTAGCATCTGTTTGTTGAAATATGTCAATTGGTATTCCATTAATTCTTGGGGTTTTATTTTTTTTCCCCCAAGTCCTTGAGAGTAGCCTGAATCTCCATCATCACTGCCTCTTAGTCATATTTTGTTTCTTGAAATTCTTTGTCAGCCAATTCTTTTTGGTACAATGACTCTGTATACCCCCTTCTATCTTCTAATGCTTCAGGAATCATTCAATATTCTGCCCATAGCATCCTTAAACATGGCAACTCACGGCTTGAATTTGTTCTTTAGTTCCTTCAGCTTAAGAAATGCTGAGCAAATTTGGCCCTTTTGATTTTCTGACTCTAGTTCCTTGCATATTTCATTATATTACTTTGCCTTGTCTTCCCAAGCTGCCCTTTGAAATCTGTTCAGCTCCTTAACTTCTTGATTTCTTCCCATTGCTTTGGCTTCTCTGCGCTCTAGTACAATATTCAGAGTCTCTTCTGACATCCAATTTCGTCTTCTGTCTTTGTAATGACCTTTTGCATTCTTCATGAATGATATTCTTGATATCTTCTCACAGCTTCTCTGGTCTTCGTTCATTAGTGCTCAAGGCCTCAAACCTGTTCCTGAGTTGTTTTTTAAATTCAGGTGGAATAGACTCAAGATGAAATTTATTTCTGTGGCTATGATTTAACCTTCTTGAGCTTTAATTTGAACTTGCATATGAGTAGTTGATGGTCCACTCCACAATCAGCACCTGGCCTGGTTTTCACTGCTGATATTGAACTTCTCCAACAATTCCTTCCACAGATGTACTCTATTGGATTCCTGTGTACACCATCAGGTGAAATCCATATGTATAGCCTGCATTTGTGTTTCTTATAAAAGGTATTTGCTATGAATAAATCATTAATTGCGCAGAATTCTATCATTCTATCCACAGCCTCATTTCTGTCGCCATATCCATATTTTCTGACTTCTGATCCCTCTTCTTGGTTCCCAACTTTCACATTCCAGTCATTCATTATTATGAATGCATCTTGGTTAAATGTTCGATTGATTTCTGACTGCAACAGTTTGTAGAAATCCTCTATTTCCTCCTCTTTGTTGAAGGGCGTAGGATTTTCAACACATTTGGGGAGGACAAAATACAATCCATCATAAGTATTATTTCAATAAGACTTGTCCCTTTTAAGGGAGCTCTGGTGGCTTAGTGTTAATGATTTGCGCTGCCAATGCAAAGGTACACAGTTCAAATCCACCAGCTGATCCACGGGAGAAAGATGAGCATTCTGCTCCTTGGAGGCAAGGATTCTGAGGCTTCATCGGACATACTTTAGGCATGTTGCAAGGAGGGACCAGTCCCTGGAGAGGGACGCCATGGTTGGAAGGGCAGAGGGACAGCACAGGAGAGGAAGACCCTCAATGAGATGGACTGATTCAGTGACTGGGGTGATGGGGGTAGGTGTGTCAGAGATGATAAGGTTGGCACAGGATAGAGCAGGTTTCAGAGATATTGTACACAGAGTTGCTAATGAATCACAAGCAACTTGATGGCACATAACAAGAACAACAAACAAAAACCAGTCTACTGCCTCTGAATACCCACTGGAACATCAGCTATGAATTGGTTCTGATTTAATGGTACAAAACAAGAAGTCCCTTTTTAGGGCTCCAACGTCCAGATTTGGTGGGCACACAGCGTTTAGGAGTTCTAATGGTGAAGGAAATGATTCATCAGACATAACAAGAATTCTGAGCCTGTAGGTAAAAGCAGGTATGGCATGTATCGTCAGAGCAATGTATACTCTAGATCCAGGAAGACTTAAGTATGGAAAGGTTAAGAGCAGTAAAACCACAATATTAATGGTTCTGTGTAAAAAAATTGGACGAGAAAGCCTAAAAGAATGGCAGCTTTATACCACCCCACATTTTACAGGGGCTTTACACACCTGATGCTTTAACGCTCAGGATAGAAACATCTGTGATGATGCCTTATGGTCATGCAGCAGTCCACAAAGCTGACGTGATAAAATGATGCACTGAGGAAGCTCTGGTGGCCTAGTAGCAAGAAGCTGCACTGCAATCCCAGAGGTGTGTGGTTCGAATCCGCCAGATGCTCTGCTGGAGGAGGAGGGACGATCTCCTCCTGTACCAGTCAGATCCAATTTGATGGTACACATACAAAAAAATAATAAAATTTTAAAAAAAATAATAAAAAGAGTGATGCACTGGAAAGAGGCTGCAGTGGGACCCAGCATTGCTCCTTAGAAATGAGTGCTAGGTCAGTCAGCAGCCAACTCCTCTTGCGGAAGTCGAGTTCCAGAACATGGGGTCCACCTTGTCCCAACCTCTAGACCAACTGCCGATCACTGTGCCTCCGAAGATCACGGCGCCCGCCAGCCCTGCACCCCTGTCTGCCCTGGGGCGCTCGTCTCCCTGGCGTAGGACCCCGTTACTAACTGCTGGAGCTGCTGCATGCTCCTGGGGACGGGGTTGATGAGGGTGGGGGGCTATGTGTACTGGACGGCGAAGAGGGCCTTGAAGCTGGGATACGCCCCAAGACCCGGGGAGATTGCACAGATGGTGATCAGCCTCAGTCTTGCAGTTTGGGGTCTAGTCATCCATCCTATTAGACACCAAAAAGAAGACTCAACAGGCAAACCGAAACTGAAAGTACCATCGTGAATTGTCTTCTCTTTTATCTGTCCTCAGAACATACACATCCTCTTGACCCACAGAGGGACCATGGTGCCAGTGGACATGTAAGGACAGACACATGGACATACTTAGCCCTGAAGCTACTAGAAGACTGAAAAGTCAAAGAACGGGTTCTCACCCTTGGCCAGGACTTTTCATAGCCTTCACTTCAGGCCCCAGATGAACCATTATTTAAAGAATCTTTTGTACTCCCTTCATAACTGAGTTAATACCCACTATGACCCTGACCCCTGTTCAGAAGTACACACAACTTCCTTTTTGTTCTGCTCTTTTCAAGTTTCTTGCAAATGCATCATCTGAGTGCTTCGTAGCTACTCAGGTTATTATATGGTTGTGAACCTAGACCAAGTGATTTGTGAAGAGTCAGCAATGGAGCAAGGCCTAATACTTAAAAACTAGGATGGCTTCAAGAGAGAAGATTGACTTTGGAGAAACAAACTCATAAAAGTCAGATATAAAAGCCTCCAAGTGTCAAGACATTTGAGAGGAATTTGAAGCTTCTTATAATAATATTTTTATAGTAAAAAAAAAAAAAATGAGTGCTAGACAAAACTCCACCTCTAAGAGATTACCTACCTGAGGTGAGAACCAATGGCCATGGAGGCTGACCTTTAGCAACTGCAGAACATTTGAAGTTTGGCATTTTCAGTAGTTGTAGTAGTAAGTAAATCACCCATTATGAAAACCAAGAAATAAAATTTTGTGTCATAAATTGACCACTGAATTTCCTCACACACATATACAACCTGGACCAGCTTGTACAATCAAAGCCCTCTGGAAAGGATATTTTGTCCAAGGATAAAGTTGAGAGTCAGCACACCGTTTGATACAAATATATATAAAAAGGCTGGGACTTTATTTCCACATTGGCACTGATACAAGGCACACAGGCAAATTTCGGCTTTGGGATGCTGGAGACAGCACTGGGGAAGGGGGTAGATGAAGTGTCCTTACCTCCACCCCCACCTAAGCACACTGTGGGGTCCTGGGTGGGTTTCCCTGTCACCCACAGGTCCCACTGAGTCTGGATGAGAGCCTACATGGGCAGGTGCAGCCCCCTCCCCAGAGGGAAAGGCTCTGCCAAGCTCTAAAGTGCTTGGTGGTTCCCCCAACTGGAGGGACCAGCCCCCCAGAGGAGGGCCTGGGTTAGAGAGCGAAGAGCAGGATCAGGACCAGCAGAAGCACCCCCAGCAGTACCACGATGGCACACCACTGCCGGCGGTCTGGTGGAGAGAGGACCAGAGGTCACAGGAGATGGAGGACCACCCAGGGACCTTCAGGACCGGCCCTCCAGGGGACTCACCACTTGTCATGTGGGATACTCTGGCCATCTTCCTGAGGACTCCATCCATCCGGGAATGGATATGGTCCATCTCGTGAGCAAAAGCATCCAGCATGCTGCTGAGACCAGGCTGGAGTCAGCTCTAAAGGGCCTGGGTGCACCAGTGTGGCAAGAGCTCCGGCCCACCCTCCCCTGGGTCCTGTCCTCACATGCCCTGTTCATCCAGCTCTTCCCCAACTCGACCGGACATTTGTTTTAGGACCTGGATGCTGCCAGACACCATTTCAAGCTGTTGATCCTGTTGGTCCATGATCAGCTGCAGGGTAGAGGGGTGGGAGGTACTATGGGCAGGGTCCCCCAAGCTGCCGGCAGGTGCCCCACACTGAGGGCCTTCCACCATCCCCACAAACCTGCTGCGTAGCCTGTTCCTCCTCAGTGTACTGAGACAAGGCTGACACCGTGCTGGCATCCAGCAGATCACTGGGTGGCTTCAGAACAGCTGGCTTGTTCACCAGCATCTGTGGGGCCCAGAGCACAGGCTCAGGGAAGGACGCCAATGCACCAAAGGACAGATCCACATAGTCTCTGGTTCGAGACAGCCTGGGGTCTGAAAGCAGACCTTCCACTTACTAGCAAGGTGGACTTGAGCATGGCAATTGACTTTCTTATGCCTTAGATTCCTCATCTGTAAAATGAGGAGAGTCAAAAACTCTGCTTCCTGGGGACCTCTGGTGGCCTAATGGCAAGAAGCTGCACTGCAATCCCAGAGGTATGCAATTCAAATCCACCAGATGCTCTGCTAGAGAAGGAGGGGCAACTTCCTCCTGTACCAGTCAGATCCAATTTGATGGTACACACACAAAATAATAATATAAAAGAAAAAAGAAAAAAACAAACCCTGCTTCCTGGGAGTGGAGTATGGATTTAATGAATCAATCCATGAAAAGCTGCTAAAACAGTGCTCCTACACAGTTGGTTCTCAATGACTGTTGGCTTTTATTAATATTTCATTTTAACATTAATCCACGGAGGCAGATGAAGTCAGATGGTTTCAATCTGCAGACAGCCCTAGTTTAATTCTAGTTTCCACCACTTACAGCAGAAAAAAGATGGGCAATCTCCTCTCGGGCGATTTACTGCCTCTGAAAACCCACTGGAGGGTCAGCTATGGGTCGGTTCCGACTCAATGGCACACAACAACAATCACTTCCAAGGTGTGTGACCCCAGTCAAGTATCCTCTCCTCTCTTGTTCCTCAGCCCCTGCCTCCCCAGGCTAGGTGCGGCTGAGGACTCTACCAAACACTTAGCATGGGATCTGGACTGGCCTCGTGTTCAATAAAGGGAACAGTTACTTTGATGGTATGAACACAGGTATTTTAACATTTAGACTTTAATCCTCAAAATCTTGCCCAAGGACATTGCTATAGGATTCCAACCTGATGCAGGCATTATCCCCCCAGGATCAGACACACCACGGAGGGGGGGAAATATGAAAAGAGGGCATGGAGAAGACACTGGAAGTCTCGAGCAGCTCAGAGACCTGGTAAGCATGCACAAAGCAACGGGATACACATTCAGAGGCTGAATGCATGCGCTCTGAAGGCTCAGGAGCACGTGCAGAGAGGTGAAGTGAATACCTACCCCGGGAATGGCTACGCACAGAGCGAGCATGGAAGAAGAAAAAAAAAAAAACACGAGGCATATACACACGCACCGCACCCCTCACCCTGGAGAAACCAGTACACACCCACAGGGTAGGCAAGAGGGTACTTGAGCATACAAATACACAGAGGGCTCAGGTCTCACTTGGAGAGAGGCAATAAGTCAGGAGACAACTCCACACAGAGAGGGTGGTCTACGTACACAGGAGGCAGGGCCCCCCATAGATTCAGCAGGGGTTGCCTTACCTCTCTGTTATTCCTCTCTATGAAGGCTATGGCAGCGGGGCTGACCAAATGATCCCTCATTTCCTGGGGATGACGGCAGAGATGTCAGAGGTACAGAACCCTCAGCCTCCCCATGCTCACCATGCACAAGGTTGTTCCTCACCTGGACCTCCTCCCACATCCTCTCCACGAACACCTTTCTCTCATGCAAGTCACCAGCCGCGAGCTTGAACTTGCTGGGGTTGGCTTCCACGATGGGTGGGCAGCTAGTCAAGGGTCAAGGCCAGGGTCAGACAGCTCTTCACTCCCCCCAGCGCTCAACATCTCTGGGTGGTCTGGCTCCCATGCCACCTCCCCACCCACCCCCACCCCATCCTGCCAGGATATCGACAGTCTCCCCCAGATCTTCGAGGTCCCACTCGATGCTGCGCAGGCCATTCCGCAGCTCATTGGTCGTCCAGTCCAGCTCCTCGCGTCCGACCGCTGCTCCCTCCTGCAAGAGCTCGCACCAGCGCTGGTAGAGCCCCCGGGCCGTGTTCACAGCCTTCTGCACCTCGCTACGGGCAAAGGCACAGAGGCGTTGCGGAGGGCAGGTGGTCCCCTCGCCCGCCCCGTCTATAACCCCAAACGTGGAGCTGACTCTGCAGAACTTAGAACCCCCAGCAGAGTCCTCCTTTGCCCCGCCGCGGACCCCAACGGTCGTGCCCAGACTGCCTGGCAAATCGTGGCCGGCGCTCCGGGCACCGGCTGGCAGAAGGGCCGCGAACCTTCCTCCGCTGTCACTCACCCTCGGACTACAAAAAACGGGTCTTCGAAAGACATGTCACCCACTCACCCACCCTTCAGGCCGAACGCCCTCCCACTCCGGGCCTCCCAAGTTCCCTCCCTCCCTCGCTGGGAGGCGAACACACCGCCCACTTCGCTGTCATGTGACCCCAAACTACCGTTGAGAGCCAGGCCTCCAGAGAAGAAAGAAAGGCTTCCAAGAACCCCAAGTGCAGGCACTTCCGCCCTCCTCGGCCACTCTGTCGCCATTCTTGTTGTGGGCAGATGCGGCTTCCGGTGCGCATGCTCGCCCCCTCGCGTCCGCCTGGCCCTCCTGGGCGGGCACATGCTTAGTTTTGGTTGCAGAGGTTCGAGTCCCAGCTACTCGCTTTATTGCTGCGCTCTCCGTTTCTCTAGTGTCAATTTTGTAAATAATAATAGCTTCCCTTAACCCCATTCTCAATCTTCTTGGCTGAAGCCTTGCGCCTGCACCCCGCTAGTAGACAGAGTCCTAGCCCCTAGGTCCAGGTGGTCGAGAAGGAATGGGAGGAGAGATGACCTTCCCTTGGTCTGCGGGGGGCGAGGGGGGGGCTTTCTGCCAAGGTACCGTTGGGTGCTCCGCTTATCGGTGGGCAAGGGGCGCAGTTGCTGTTCTTAGGGGTTTGCGGAGAAATTCGGCATGGGGGGTTGGTGCACTTTTGAGTTTGTGGGGAGGGGAGGCTTCCTAAAGGTGTGTCTTTATAGTCTTGATGTTTTCTGGAGATGAGCGTGGGGGTCGTAGGACGTGGTGGCTCAGAAGAGGGTGTCCGGAGTACGCTGCGCGTCGGTTTGCACTCCCTCTCCGTAAGGCCCCCAGGGCCGAGGGTCGTGCTCAAGCCATTGCCTGATCTTTGTGGGATTTCCATCTCTGGAGGGTGAGCGGGAGGTCAGAGAGATCCCCCGGAGAATTGCCCCATTGTGCATCAGGGTTCTCATTACGGGGCTAACCACAACACATTAGGATCGCTGAATAAATTTAGTTTTTGGAGACTCTTTCATGGGGAATAACCTGGGAGGGGACCATGTCAGGGAAATACGGAGGAATCACTGCGGGATTCAGGGGGGAAAAAAGAGGTCTTCGGAAGATGGCGTCAGTGGGAGCCTGGAGGTCGCCCTTCCTCATGGAAGGAAAGCGATCTCGAACAGGGACTATGCCCGCGTCCTCTCTATACCCCGCCCCCCTCCGGAAGAAAACCTGCCGTAGCTGGCTAAGGAGATTCCGGCCCCTGCCCTTATATGGGCAGCCGGAAGCCGGTCGCGCGCTCGGCTACGTCATCACTTCCAAATATAGTTGTGGAAGTTCGCAAGTTCCAGTGGCGGGAAGGCTCTGCGGGCCAGCCTGGAGGGGTGGAGCCTCGCCTTAAAGGGCCCGCACCACCAATAGTAGAGATCCTGGACAATTTTTGCGTCCGAAAGGAATTCTATAAGGCATTGGAATGAGATGTCCTTTTTTTTGTTTTGACGAAATAGGTTGTCTTAGAGGAATAGCACATGGCGCAGGGTGTGAGCTGATTCCTTTCATGCTTTTTGGTCTGCGAAGTTAATTACCAGACCCTCATTCCCATCTGCCTTTCAAGGGGCGGAGGTGGCTCACCACTTAGGTTTAGGGGGTGCGGGGAGCGGCAGCCATGTGCTCGCTGGACCTGTCGGTGGCCGGGACCAGTATCTTTCCAACGTCATGACGCCCACCGGTGGTGCTAGTGTTTCGGAGAATGGGGGGAGGCCTATGCGGGGAGCAGGAAAACCAGGCAGTTTGGGTCACATGGCAGCGTCTGCGAACACCCATCATCTGCGGAATGGGCTACATTGGCCCATGTGGAACCAGCACCGCCTCCTTCCCGCCTACAAACAACAGTGGCATGAGGACAGCTGGCAGACGCTAGAGACCAAAGAGATGATCTATAGCATATACTCCTTTAGCAACGAAACCTCGGTTTCCCTCCCATGAAAGCACGTCCAACAGTACCCTCGTGGTGGAGGTAGAGGAAGATCAGTGGAACAGTGGTGAAAGGAAAGCGCTTACGCCTACCAATGCGTGGCGAGTAGCAAGCACTTAATTTAAATTAAATTTTATTAATTTTAATGAACATTTACAGAGATTTTGGATTTCCATTCATTCATTGTTGCAACACTTAACGAATTTTAATACCGTTGTTACTTAATCGGTAAAAACCAACGAGGTGCCTAGAAGAGGCCAGGACCTGTGTTCACTGGGTCCAGTCCAAATCTTCCCCAGTGCGAAAGGTAATTCTGCTAGCGCCCTGTTGAGGTTGTCTCACTAGCAGTCACTCCTTGGCTGAGTCCTGAGAAAGGTGGCCAGGCCCGAAAACTCGAGCGAGAAATAGGGGGTCTCCTTCCCTTTACCTGGCTTGGTAAATTCTTTACTGTTACTTTAAGGAGTTTCTCTCGGCGTGGCGCGTTGGAAAGCCCGGATGCGGCTCTCTGATTGGGCGGGGCGCCTCGCTGATGTCATTGAAGGTATAAAAGGGCCCGAGTGGCGGGTGCCCCGGCAGCTTCGTCCTCTCCGTGTCCCAGCTTGGATTGGCGTAGCGAGTAGGAGCGCGTTGACGGAGTGCGCCCCTCGTTTGACCTGTCCAGTCCGAACCCTCTCCACCTTCGGACCGCCGTCGAGTCGCAATGGAAGTGCAGAAAGAGGCACAACGCATCATGACCCTGTCGGTGTGGAAGATGTACCACTCGCGTATGCAACGCGGTGGCCTGCGACTGCACCGGAGTCTGCAGCTGTCGCTGGTCATGCGTAGCGCCCGAGAGCTCTACCTCTCGGCCAAAGTGGAGGCCCAGGAGCCCGAGATGCCCTTCCCAGCCGGCCGGTCCCCTGACCCTCGACTACACCCTTCTCGGGAAACGGAAGCCGCAGCACCAACAGCGCCCGCTGACAGTGGGCCGCCCTCCCCCGAGCCCATGGACACCCAGGAGGCTCCACGAGCCGAGGAGACTCTGACCCGCTGTAACCCGCAACCCGCCAAAGCCAGCCGCAAGCGGCGCAGCAGCAGCCTGAGCGATAGCGGAGACGCCGGACTGGTCCCGAGCAAGAAAGCCCGCCTGGAAGAACAGGAGGCGGAGGAGACCCCGTCGGAGGTCCCCAATCGCCTCCAGCCCCCGCCGGCGCAAGCGGAGGGCGCCTTCCCCAATCTGGCGCGCGTCCTGCAGAGGCGCTTCTCCGGCATTCTGAACTGTAACCCTGCCGCGTCCCCGACGGCGCCGCCCGCGTGCGAGGCGAAGCCGGCCTGCCGCCCGGCGGACAACATGCTAAACGTGCTGGTGCGGGCCGTGGTGGCCTTCTGAGGGCCCCGAGCGCGGTGGCACCGGAGCCCAAAGCGCGGGTCGAACCGTCGGCCCGAGTGCGCTGACCGAGGCGAGGATTCCCCCCCCCGGGGAGTGCCCGCGGAAACCGTCTAGAGGAGCCGCCGCCCGGGCTGCCGAGAGGCCCGGAGAGGGACTCTGCCCCCGGGGAGCCCGCCGTGCGCGCGGAGCCCGGGGGCGCGGGCGCCTTCCGCCGAGACCTGCGGGCGCCCGCAGGTGCTGTCTTCACGGACTGGGACTCGGACCTCGCTCTCCCGCCGGGACTGGGAGAAAGGGAGGCGTAGTTATTAACTCAGGGTCGGATGAGAGTCCTTTCGGTTTTTGTTTGTTATTTTTTTTTTTTAACTGGAGCTGTGCTGCCCATTCAGGATTTCTCCGTAGTGGGTTTTCACGTTTTAACCTCAGAATTCCAGGCGCTTCCCTTCCCCCTCCCTGACATACTTGGGCACGCGGTCATGGTTGCGTCATGGGGCAGACGGGGTGCGCTTCCTGTTGCCTTGCGTGGGTGTGGGCCTGCCGGAGGGCGGCCTGAGTCACTGCGCCCCCGCGCCCAGTGGCTGTAGTGCTGGGGCTCCCGGTGGGGTGGGGCCGACCTCATTACATACGAAGATGGTTCTCATCTGGGGCGTTAGAGGTGGAGGCCTGGTTCTCACACCCACGGACACCATCCACCTGGACGTGCCTGGCTAGAATCAGGAGGGGAAGCGGGGTGCGGAGCAGTACATAAGCTGGGACCACTTGCTGGTGAGACTGGCCAAGGTCTTTCCCGAGGGTCTGTTTACCTTTCCTGGGGTGGGTTCTGGTAAACTCTACAACCTGGCATGGTGTCTGAAACGTCAGATTGGAAAATAAAGTCCGTTTGTATAGAATGTCTGTTACCCGTCTGGCTTTCTTCCTAAGTGGGGGGAGGGGAAGGGTCGGGGATTGGCGGCATTGGGGCCCCGGGAACCGGCCTGACCGGTTTCCACGTGGTCAGAGGTGGGCGGGAAGGGGCTGGGTTCCTTTTCTTTGCCTTAACTCTGATGGTCTAGGGTGTAGGGAGTAGCGCTACCAACCCGAAGGCAACAGGTTCAAGTTTGCCAGCTGCTCTAGGAGAAAAATAGGCTTTGCCCCATATTTATTTACAGGCTCTGAAAAACTGCTGGCGGATCCACAATGAATGTGTTCCAATCAGAATGCAATGTGCGCACTCAACCTGGAGCTCCCACTTGGTTCCGAGATTTGGGGGTTCCCTCAAACTTCCCCATAAGCGCCCCTGTGCTTTCCGAATTCAACATTTAAGGGAGGCACTGCCGATCGTTTGTGGGGCTTACAGGAAAAGGCAGACGTCCTCTTGTCCTAACTAAGGTAGAGCCAACTCTCGCCTCTGCCTTTTCAAAATACCTGCCTTTTAATTATTAATATCTGCCTTTAAAACAGCTGCTTGGTCAGGCTTTTTATTTACAAATGTCTGTGGGTGCCCTGGCTATTTGAGCTCGCCCCAGACCATGGTAACCACCCCAAGAGAAAACCGTATCAAGTTTCACTTAGTCGGCCTGGTAGGACTCTAGGCAGCGCTCCAGAACGAGGAGGGATCTGTCCCGAGGACAAAGGGGCCGCAGGTGCTGGCAGGGGGACGACGCCTCCAGACAGCGGGGCTGCGGGCCTCCAGCAACCCCTGGGACCTGACCCCCAGTCCTGAGGGCCGAGGGAGAGGGGGCGGGGCGCGGGGCCCCCCTCCGGCTCGCCTCCGCCCTGGCCACCTACCCCGCCCCCTCCCTGCCAGGCCCACGCTCTCGCTGCCCCAAGACGCACACAATAGGGGGTGCGCCCCCTCGGGCCCGCCCGACCCCAAAGGAAATCCGGGCACGCTTGCCTCCACCGCCTGCGGAGTTCTTCCCGGTGCAACATGCACTTTAGGGCCGCCCACGGCGCATTTTCCGACTCAGAATTCCCCAATGGGACGTGAGAGGCGGGGGCCCTATACTCCTTGGGTGGATCAATGCATCTGTGGCACAGCAACACCCTCGGCGAGTCTGGTCCGCCCCGGGAAGTCCCGGAGGCCGAGGAGGGGGCCCTGGCCTCTACATCCTGTCGCAGGAACCGCCAGGCCCTTCCTTCCGCGGGAAGTGGCTCAGCCGACCCCCACCCCCGCCCAAGCCGCCAGAGGAACTTCCAGTGCCTGGTGGGGGTGGGAGTGGGGGTGGCGCAGGCGATGGGGCGGGAGGCAAAACTGGGGGAAACTAGCAGAGGGACACACACCACACCACACACACGCCACACAAACCACACATCCACCTGTACACACATGCCACACACATGCCACACACATCGCACATCACATCCCACACGGATATCACACACACACCGTATCCCCACACTACACCCTATACAAGCATCCCACACACACATCTCCACACCACACCCCACACAGACCTGCCACACACCCTGCACAATCCCACACCACATCTTATACAACACACACTCCACACCACATACACCCCACACACATCACACATGCCCATACCACACCTTATAAACTACACACATTCCCACTCCACATCTCACACATCTCACATATACACTCCATACATACATCACACCTCACCACACACACCACACACCATCACATCACACATCCCCACACTACATCCCACACAGACATCACACACGCACACCTCACCACATACACGTGCACACCATATCACATACACATCCCACATCACCACACCCTGGACATCACACATACTACACACATATCCTGCACACCCCATACACACATCACACATACACTCCACATAGACATCACATCACACATCCCCACACCACATCACACATACCACACACACCTCGCACCACATCATACACATCACATCCACATTCCAGACATATCCACACCACACCACACACACACTCCTTAAGATAAACTAGACACACATGCGCGCGCACACACACACACACACACACACACTCCTTAACATAAACTAGAGGGGCACTGGTAGACTAATGGCAAGAAGCTGTGCTGCAATCCTGAAGGTGCACGGTTTGAATCCACCAGATGCTCCGCTGGAGAAGGAGGGGCAATCTTCTCTTGTGCCAGCCAGATCCAATTCACCGGTACACAACAACAGAAAAAAAGATAAACTAACAGCTCCTTTTCACCCAGCAGAATAGATAAAATTAGGAAGTTATGACCACACCCCACATCCATGGGACATGTGGCTGTCACGTGATGAGTGGGCAGGCCGATTGGACAATAGTTGTGGAACTTGAAAATTCCAGAGCCGGTGCTTCTGCTGGGATCCTCAGGCTGGCACCCAGAGTTTGCAGAAGGCTCCTGCTCATTGCAGTGCTGTGTGAAATAGGGACAGACTAGAAACACCCTATGTGCCCATCTAAACAGTCTGGCCCAATAGAATGTGTACTCGCCCTGGCTACTCCTCCCACGCCACACAGCTCTGCCCTCCCTGGCACAGGTAATCCAGACTGATCAGACTGAAGGTCAAGGCCAGCTGCTGAAGTAGGGTAGAGGGCATCATTTCCCTGGCTGCCACCTCCTTTCCCAACTGCTCCGTCGGCCTTTCTGTGTGGCCTGGGCAAGGTACTCTACCCCCTGTAAAATGGGGTCAAGAATAAGCCCTGTTTTAAGTTGCAGCAATGAAATCTGCACCTGAAATGTTTAACATGTGTGCGCTTCACACGATGTGGCTTATCTCGAAAGGATGTTAAAAGCACATACAGCCAACAAGAAAAGTCTGCATTGTAAGTGGGTGCAAACACTGTGCTAGGTCTAGCAAGCTGAAAGGATAGTGTTGCTCCCAGCTGCTTGCTTCATGTCCACCAGGGTCAACCTGCAATCCCAAAGGCATACAGTTCAAATGCACCAGCTGCTCCATGGGAGAAGGATGGGCAATCTCCTCCCATGCAATTTAAAGTCTTTGAAAATCTGCTGGAGGGTCAGCTACAGGTTGGTTCTGACTGGATGGTACCCGACTACCCTGATGAGCTATGCTATTAGGACTCCTTAGTGACTGATGATTTCTTAGCAGCAGCATTAAACAGGATTAACTCTTCCCACCTCTAAGACCACACCTTCTCCTGGTCTCCTCCTAGCTTACCCAGGGGCCCCTTCTCAGTCTTGTTCTCTTGGCTGTTAACAATGGAAACAAAGGAGGATGCTTCAATGATTTAGATTCTCCCAGAAGAGCTGTGGGTGAGCATTAACATT